TCTATTATTTAGTTTGCTTTATTCTCTTGATTGGTTTCTTTTTTTATCCTTTACTCCAAGCCTCCTGAAAACTTACTGGATGTGGCATTATTCAGGTGCTATGTGAATCTGCAAGCAAGCATCAAACTATCGCTGAGAATATACGATTGCATTTCACTGCTAATAAGTTTCTTTCACCTGGCATATTCTGATACAGAGAAAAAATCTACTTGGTTTTTTTTTGTCATTGGAAGCCCCCTTTTCAAATTTTGCTGTTTATTTTATGTACGATATCCAAAACTTGGAATTGTATTCCAACACCATACACATCCAATTTTCTTTGTGTGCAGGCAAACTTCTAACTCCACCTCTAAGGTTTCAATTGAACATTACAGGTGTTTGATTCAGGTCAAGTGATTGAAAGACAGGAGCAAAATTGCCCTAAAGTCAGGTTTGATGCTTCATGTTTCCTCCAGTTCAGTCATAGCCAAATTAGGCCTAGTTGTCTTTGGAGATGAAATTCGATATCGGTGAATCTGGTGGTGGCTTTGATGGTGCCTTGAGGTGACTTGCTTAACATTTTTTCTTTTCTTTTTTTTTGGGGGTTGAATTTCCAAGGGTTATGATCAGAGTTTATCATACTGGATTATATTTTTGCTTTGCTTTTTCAAAACTGTGCATTGATAATTAATGATAGAGAGCGCTACCAATTACTACAAATTACTTCATAGCAAAGAACGGTGCATTGTTGCAGGATGCTTATAACTACTCATTATAGTAACACAACATGAATCCCGTGCTGATGAAGTGATGAAAATTTCTATGAACTGATGAACTGCAGAAGAAAAAGAGAAATCTTGTCTTGTCTGTTGTAGCTTTATTTTGTGATGAATTCGCAAGTATAAACAGAAGCATCAAACATCTGGTTGGAAAGATAACAATTTACAATACAAAGATGTACAGGAATATGCTAATATCCAGAAAATTCTTTGACTTAACCCAATCCTTAAACCTCACTGAAGATAGCCATTCTTCAGCTCCAACAATCTGGACCACCTCTTATCGACCGAAGCAATATTTTGTGCCCCCAAATCTGCAATCAACATTTGCATTTCTTCATCAGTTGTCAGTATAATAATCTAATACTATGTTTTTCTTGCATGCTGGTGATATAGCTCAGGAAATACTCCTCTGTTCCAAAAAGTTTGTGCAACAAACATGACAATCATATTGGGACAGAGGGAGTACTCCTGTACTAATGAATAGAAGACGAGTAGGATCATTACACTGCAATCTAGGTTCGTTGCTTTCACATGCCTCTGAACAAGTCTCCTGAAAAAGAACAAATCCATATAGCTTAGTAGTCGAAGAAGAAAACATTGCATTGTTAGAGGAAGAAGTTTCTTTGCTACTACTAATTAAATGTTCTTTTTTTTTTTTTTTTACTTTGACTGATGTAGCAAGCCGAATAGAGTCTTGTATAAGTGAATCAAGATCAGCTTCATCTCCGGGTTTCACATAAATCACCTGCATATTCATCCACATTAACATTGAAGTTACTACACTTTTCACCGCCATTAAAATATTAAATTGTCGGATGCCTAGTAAGAGTCGTCTTGTAGTTTTACCGATGGATCATCATCACCTCCTAGTATTGGAAGTTCTTCCTCATCATCAGCTAAGCCTTTTTTCTTGTTTGATGGCAGAATCCAAACGGTGAAGTTTGTATTAATCTAACCATGACAAAGAATGAAATGAAAATCAAACTTTAATACACATAAAATTTTGCAACCAAGAAGTAACAACACTAATGAAATACCTCACGGCAGTAGGGTGAAGAGCAATTGCTGCATTTCCTAGAAAATGATGTAGTGACCCTTCCTTCGACTGAAAGTCCAAAGCCCGCATGCTGGCAGAATTAAATATTTATCGTTCTAATTTTATCGGATGTTTTCGTTATCTGTTTTGCTCAGAAATTTATCCAATGGAACTTGGGGAAAAAAAAAAGAAGAAAAGATGAATATTAGACCTTGTCAATGGAAAGGGTTACAGAAACCTCACTGTTGTGATGCTGATGGCCATCTTCAGCTAAATCTTGAAGGTGAAGATCCCTGAGTGACAAGTTGTAATCCACTTCCCAACTTCCATGCCATTTCCCTTCTGCTGTGGATACCTTCACCAACTTTTTAGGTGTTTTTTGGCTTCTTTTGCTTATCTTTCATGATTCACAAGGCCAAATATAAGTTAGTAAGTTAGCCTAATTCATTCATGATGGGAAAGAAAAAACATGAAATTAACTGAAATTTCACTTAAGCATTAAAAGAAAGATATGGATAGATGAGATAAAAATTACCAAAGAGAAATAAATTCTTCCTGTAGAGGAGGCTGCTCTATGATGCTTCAAGGGTTGAGGGATTAAGTGGTGGATAGGATTGGCTTGTGATGAGTGATGAATTGTGTTCATTTTTGGGTTATTGCCAATGCTGTTGGCCCTTCCTTTCTTCCTCCCTTTGCATCCTTCCCACCTTATCCAAAAACCACTCAAATTATGTATAGATTTTGGTACCTTTATTATTATTATTATTTTTATTTTTTTTTGAGTGTTGTGAGTCCATAAATTTTCTTCTCCAATTTTTTGGGTATACTTGTCAACATTTGGAGCCACTCTCTATATTTCTACCCTAACAAAATATCTTGGAGATGCATGTCCGAATTTGATACACAATCAAGTGTAACATGTGAATATACTTTTATGCTCATTAAAACGTTTGTGTTCTTCGCTCCACTACATTAAATTGTTAAAAAGTTGTTGAAACTTGAAACTAGGAACACCATATATACATCAAATAATTATTATTTGTCATATTCTTAACCAAAAATATCAATGGTTAAGTAACAAACATGTCTCTTTTCAACGCAAACTTCTTCTTCTTCTTCTTCTTTTTTAATTTCATTAAAAAAAATTTAATAACAGAGTTTACAAATTCGTTCAACGTCAAATCTCCTAACATAATCACTTGCCTTTTGTTATTCTTACATCTTTTTCTCTTTTTTTCCCCCTTTCTTTTCTTTTTAAGACACTTTTGTGTTTTTGTTAAGATTTAGGTTCCTTTTGAATTTCGAAAAGAAATAAGGATCTTTTGGCATTTTTGTCAAACCTTTAGGTGCTCAACGTAATTCCCCCAAATAAAGAGGGAAACATCCATCTCGTTCCCGCCTCGGAGAAGAAAAATTGCAAAATCTCTTCCGAAAACTTCCGGCGAAAGGAAATGGCGGCCTCTGCAAAGACTTTACTCGACTTCTTCAAAGAACCCTCTGCTAAGCGTGTCAAGCGAATCGCCTCATCTCCTCCTCCGACGGCGGCGGTGACTAAACTTTCTGCTGTCTTCTCGACGTCGTCGTCATCATCCCCCACCGCCGGCGGCGATAACAGAAGCCAAAACGAAGCCGCGCAATCGGAAGCCCCAAATTCAATTCCTGCTACTACCGATGATCTCACCAAAGAACAGAAGTCTAGAATGGAGTTCAACAAAGCACTTGCCCGAGCTAAGCGAAACCTTAAACTCTGCTCCGATAAAATTTCCAAATGTACTACCACCACTCCTCCGGTTATTAAATCATATTTTTATTTTGAAAGCTTACATATTTGGGTCTAATTTCCGTAGGTAAATGCAAAAAGGGAGTATCTTGGCTGTATAAATTTCGGCTTTCAGCATCATTTATCTATTTGCTAAAGCTTTTCTGGGGTTCATTTTTTTTTCTCTTCAAATGTTCTTTGTTTAAAATATAATATTAAAGAGACTTGTATTAAGCTTCTACCCTACGTTCAAAGGGTTTCTATTTTCCCATTTTGCCTAGTACTTTCACTTTGATTTCTGAATTGCTTATTTGCACAGTTTGTTTTATGAATTTCATTGTCGGTGAATTAAAATATTGGGATAAGCCTACATGCTGTAACATTGGGTTTGATCATGATAGGTGGGAGTGTAGGACATGTGAAATTGGAGGAACTATTGGTTGAAGAGACATGGCGGCAAAAGTTACCAGGAGAATTTGACAAGCCATATGCACAGAAATTGTTTAAGTTTGTGGAGAGTGAAATACAGAAGGGAGATGTGCCAGTATATCCTCCTCACCATTTGATTTTTAATGCTCTCAATGCCACTTCTTTTGACTCGGTGAAAGTGGTCATCATTGGTCAGGTGCACATCTCTTGCGGAGTACTTACTATGAGTTTTGGGCAAATTGTTTCTCTATGTTTTAGTTGACAGCAGACAGTATGAATGAAAGGGTTCCTATGTATTGCATTTAATCATCAGAAAATTTACAAGGGACGTTTAAAATGTCTAAATTCTGTTATTAATCCCTTACAATGTTTTACCAGTTTAACATGATGTGAGTTTGGAAAAATTATTGAGTTTTGATTTTCATGCTCTAGGACCCATACCATGGACCGGGTCAGGCAATGGGCCTTTCTTTCTCGGTTCCTGAAGGTGTTAAGGTGCCTTCAAGTCTGATAAACATATATAAGGAGCTTCAGCAAGATCTGGGCTGTTCAATTCCAAAACATGGGAACTTGGAGAGATGGGCTTTACAGGTAACAGTACATTTCCCATTGTTGAGATACTTATCTCCTCTTTTAAACTTTTAAGATGTGACTCTTCATGTTAGTCTCGTCTAGCCCTCACAACATCTGATATGATTGTGTCCAACTGAAGTCTCTTACCGTGTTTTTCATCAGTTTTTCAGTTAGTAGTAGAATGTTATAGTCTTTACTCAAAAAAAAAAAAAATGAAAAGAAAAAGAATGTTATAGTCAAACAGTATATCTTAGAAAGAATGGGATTCAAACAAAAACTTATAGAGGATAAAAGAAACACTTAAAGAATTCTGTTAAAAGGAAGAACGCAATTTGATGAATCATTTAATGTTTCCACTTCAGCCAGAGATGCTTTTTTGAATTCTTGTTTGTTTCTTTTAATCTTCACACTTTTCTATTACCCTAGAGTTGAGGTGTATGGTTTTGAAATGATGATTTGACATCGTGTTCTTTAATTCCGTAGGGGGTTTTGTTGCTCAATGCTGTCTTGACAGGTAAGGTTTTTCATATCAATTTAGTATCTTGCCCAGAAAAATTCTTTCTTTATGTTCTCTGAAGAATGTAGAGAGATGCTATTATCCCTCCATGACCGGACAAATATTGTTAATTCCACTTCATATTGTTGCTCACAGAATTTCTTTTTCTCTGGCTTACTATTGCAGTTAAACAGCATCAAGCGAATTCACATGCGAAGAAAGGTTGGGAACAGTTTACTGATGCTGTAATCAAAACACTTTCAAAGGAAAAAGTTGGTGTCATTTTTCTTCTTTGGGGAAATTATGCCCAAGCAAAGGCCAGGTTTTTTTGAGACTCTATATTTGCTTTTGGTTTATTTTACACAGCCAATAAACATACTATTAATTTGCTAGCAATGCACTGATTTACCACAGTAAAGTGTTTCCCCGTGCTCCACTGTGCTATCCAGTTTAAGTTTACCAACAGCTGAGAGTTGTAGGCTTGTGATTTTTAACGATGCTTAATACAGGTTGATTGACGAGACAAAGCACTATGTTCTCAAGTCGGCTCATCCATCTGGTCTTTCTGCGAACCGAGGCTTCTTTGGTTGCAGGTTCGTATTCCCATCATAATATTTTCTGTTAAGAAACTATTTACTCAAAGAATTTAATATCAAACTTGAGAACATGGAGTTTGTTTCCGCCAAAATTTAATTGATTTGTGAATTAGGTCTCTTGATAGTTTGGCTATTGAAGACATTTCATGAACAAATATTCGGCTGCCAAATTACTCCATTAGATTTTGTAGATCCAAGCTTTCAGCAGGTGTCAGTATCTCGATCCGGTAGATGCCGTAGTTCTTAATTGCAATACCTTTTTTTTTCTCCCTCATGTGGACTTTAAGCTATTAAGATGCTATTATTCAATGGAACCAAATTAGTCTCCCCAGCATCATCTTCTGGAAGAAATACAATACGTGAGAGTTGAGACCATTTCTTCCTACTTTGATGTGATAGCAACAAACAAGTTTTTAGCATTATTCCACCCCTCAACCCCCTCTCTATAGGTGTCCTATATCGGTCCGAGACAAGTCTCTTCTCTGTCGTGATTCCATTGTTCCTTGTAACCATTTATCAGTCTTTGAAAGAGTTTCTGTAGTGGAGCTTGGTTCTGTATCATTGTTTTAAACTGTATCTACGTTATCTATGCAGACATTTTTCTAAGACTAACCAGATTCTGGAGAAAATGGGAGTTTCCCCCATTGATTGGCAACTGTAGCCTAGAAGATCAAACTTACATTTTGAAGATCACTTTTGCTGCAGATAAATTGGCAAACTTGTGGTGCATTCTAGGTTACAAGGATCTAATTAGATTTAATGTTAACATACCTCATTTTGCGAGGTTGACAGAAATTGTTGTAGTAATAGTGCAAGGATATTGGTGACAAGGCGAATGTTACCAATTTTGTGTATCATAGCAAGTTATCAATTTATTCTGATTGTTATTCTTCATTTGCATCTCGAATCTGCTACTTAGTAATTAAATCATTTTGACTAATTACTCTGACAACCCATGAGTTATCAGAAAAATGTACATCCCTAAAGTCATTTACAAGGGGAAAAAAAAAATGTAAGCTGCACTGTAACCATGATGAGACATTGAGACATATGGAAGGAAGTGCTCGCTCAATAAGTCAGAAATACAACAAAGGTTTAGTAATGAAAAAGATCATAATCATAATCGCCAAGCTTTATCTATCAGAACTTTACAACAGCTTATAGCAGCAGTCAAAAGCATTGGCAGGCTGAGTTTCACCTATTTACACAATTCAAGCATCAAGCAAATGAACTCCCAGATTTGGGTAACACTAGCTGTGCAAGTATACATCTCTTTACCCCTGCAGCAGAAAAGTCTTCTATTCACATGATACCCTCTTTTTCCCCTGATGAGTGAAAACTGTTGTGAATAGTAAAAGGGCAACATGCTGTAATATGATGACTAGTTTTCCTCGGGTGGTATGGAACACCAACCAGAAGTGCTCATATTGCCTTTTTTGACTTGTATATTTTTGCACAGAAGATGTAAATCACCATGTTCAAGAAGCTGAGCCCAGCCAAGAGCCAGAAGAAGTAGTCAAGATGGCCCTTATTCAAGTTATCTGGAATCCACCCAATGTTCCCACCTTTGGTTGTGAAGTATGCAACTAGAGTGAGAATAAAAGAGCTCAAGTAATTCCCCAAAGAAGTGGTCAGAAGTGACAAAGCACTGCACAAGCTCCGCATGGCATCAGGTGACTGGTCATAGAAGAACTCAAGCTGACCAATGAATGTGAAAACCTCGGCAGCTCCGAGTAGAAAGTATTGAGGTATTTGCCAAAAGACACTGAGAGGAACCGCAACTGCCTCATCAACAAGTCCAAGATCTTTAGCAAGTTGTAGCCGCCAAATCTCTACCACGGCTGCAGCTGACATGCAGAATATTGAAAGAAAAAGGCCAATTCCCATGCGTTGTAACTCACTGAAACCCCTTTCCTTCCCAGTGAACTTTCTAGCAATTGGTACAAGAAATCTGTCATATACTGGTACCCAGAAAATCACACTGATCACATCAAAAGTTGAGAGAGAGGCAGCAGGGATAGTGAAGGAACCGATAGAAGTGTCCATCATTGTCCCTTGCTCAACAAACATAGTTGACATTTGAGCATAAACAGCAGAAAACACAATTCCAGTAGCCCAGATGGGAAACATGCGGACCAATATCTTCAATTCTTCGACCTGTGTAACTGTACAAATCCTCCAAGGATTTGAACAATCGCCAGTTTTGAGCTCCTCCTCCGAATAAACAGCAGCTCTATCAAGGCATCTGTTGGGGAAAAAAGGAGTACTTTTAGCAATGTTGTTTCGACATGGCTGTTTGGGACACTAATCACTAAAAAAGGGAAACAAAAAAAAAGACATATAAGAGACCTTAACAAGTAGTAATGTGTCACAAACAAGAGACAACAAGAATATCACAATCTAAGCAAACAACAATTACTTCTTCATTGAATCATAAGATTTTCCACTGACACAATCTATTTTCAGTGATCTAAATATCAGAACATAAATGAAAATTAGCAGACCTCAAGGTTTTTTTTTTTTTTTTTTTGACCTCAAGGTACTTTAAGAACCAAGAGCCAAGAAAAAATATCGTGACGACAACAATATATACACATTTCAAAATGTGTGGAGTTTACCCAGAAGATCATAGAAGACATAGAATGTAGAATCACATACATTACAACAACAAAATGTGATACCTAAATTGATCCAAACTAGCAAACAGGAGATATAAGAACTATAACTTTGCATTTATCCCACTACATGGGGTCGCATATTTTGAAGATATGCCACCATCATACTTTGCCAGGCATGGGAACTCAATACATGCGAGACAGAAACATGAGAAGTGGGCCCGGAGTAACAGGGAACGGAGACTTTCTGGGCTCTTATACCAAAGAAAACAAAACTGGCTAATTATATTGAAATGCCTCCTTAACTTCTCCAGTTAACAGACCAGACAACAAAAGCATAAGGGGAAAAAATCATTTTACAATCGCGTTAGTAACAGAATCAAGTGTAAGTTCATGTGCCAAATTAACAAAACAATATTATCCCAACTAAGCCAAGATTTTCAAAACGCGAAGGAAAAAGAAAAGGTAAAGCACATAAGACAACATAAAAAGCACTAGAGAAGGTTATGCATCTTACTTCAATTCATTGGTATGCACCAGCTTTCTGCTTCCTTCAATAGCAGAGAATTCATCTTGTGTCTCATACAGGAGACTACTGTCCTCAGGCACATGCAAAGTCCACTTGCGGCTTGCTGCCACCAAAACCTGACACATTCTTGTAATAGGGCTCCCTCCAGGCTTCTGGAATCGATAGAGAGGCGTGCCAGAAAAGAAACTCACAATAGCAGCGCCCATAAAGAATGCTGGAATTCCGAAACCAAGGCCCCACCCAGCATTTTCTTGAATCCAGACAATCAAGCTACTGGAAACAAAAGCTCCAATATTGATTGAAAAATAAAACCAATTGAAGAAAGAACCCTTTTTGATCCTTTCATTAGGATCTGTATCATCAAATTGATCCGCACCAAAGGATGAGACACATGGTTTGATCCCACCAGTTCCAAGGGCTATCAAATATAGGCCCATGAAGAATATAGTATATTGGGCTGGACTAGCTGAAGGGCAGAACGTGTCTACACATTCAGGAGGCCTAAAAGCAGGAACTGATGCTGAGAGAGTCAAAATGCTCATTCCCTACACAACCAAAAAAAAAAAAAAAAGAGCTGCTGAGCATATGAGTTTCAACAATGCTAGAAAAGGCAAACCTCAGTTGCGAGCATGTAATGCTACAGCAAAAGAAAGCTATATGTAAACACCGATTCCTTATGGCGGTATACGGCATCTAACCCCTCAACAGAATAAAGTACATATAACAGGTTACAAACTTCAATTCCTCTTTAAAACAGCATTTATAAAATTACGAAGTTCAGATCACACTAGAGTAGAACGCCCTTTAGCTTCAAGGTGGTATGCATGCAGGTATCTTTTTTCGAAGACAAAACATCAACACACCATAACTTCATCGTATCATTATTTCTAAAATGTTACAAGGATAAGTATATGGAGGATAGGAAACATTACAATAAAATAGATGGTGGAGAAGGTAGCTATTGTCCAGTATCTTCCCCAGTATGCATCTGCAAGCACCGCCCCAATAAGGGGAGTTAGATAGCATGTGCCTTGCCAAGTTGTCACATTTCTTGCAGCTGAAACATTTCCTTCATGCAGCTTCTTTGTGAGATAAGTAACAAGATTAGTAGAAATCCCATAGTATGCCAGACGTTCACAACATTCATTACCTGTTCCCATCCGAAGAGTTGGTTAACCTAGACCGAATATCTCCTTTCCGAAATGAAAAGAAAAGAACAGAAAAGAAATAGAGGGTTGGTGGGGGGGTGGGGGGGGGGGTGGTTGGGGAGGGGGTGGATTGGAACTAAAAGAAACAAAGGATTACCAAGAATAAATGGGCATGCTCTCCAGTTTCCTGTGTTGCTTTTCAAAACCGGCTTTCCATTGATGTCTACAGAACCATCTCCGGTGTACAGCCCACTGTTTTCATGCTGTAAAGAAATCAAAAATAAAGAATGAGCTTCAAAAGTAAATTTGCAGATAAACTTTTGTAATCTAGATAGAGACAAGTACACTTCCAGATGAAAATCTTTGTGCCCGTCTTTATCGAATTCATAATGCCAAAACCTATCGTTTAAATTAAAACTAGATATTCTTAAAACACAGATTGTTACCTATTGCTCAAATAATCAATATCACATACCAGATACAAACATATCAATACAAGACAGGGCAATTGTAGACAAGGAGAAATGTACAGAGATAACAATCCAAGAACTGAAAAGGCTAAGGAGGTCTAAGATCGATATACAAGAAAAGCACCTGAAATCCACAAAGGTGTCTGAAGTGGATCTTATTTTAGGAGTGTGACATAATAACCATATTTTACAGTTAGAAAAAATTTCCATTATTGAGTGTGGTGGATATTATAGAGATGTATTTACAACAGTTAAGACATCCAAAATGATAAAAATGCCAGGAGTGTCCATCCAAGATGATACAAAGAAAGTATCTTTGAGTTGGTAATCCCAAAGAACTGATAAAGTTACAGATACAGGAACTCAAGACGAGGGTAGAACTAATAAGGCAAACAACCAAATTGTCACTTTACCAGGTATTCATTATCATCTCAAATATTCCTAGAGCAACAAAATTGCTTATATTTAAAAGCATCACAAGCGTGTGATTTCTCACATCAGTGAAAAATTGGTGCTACAACTGCAATCTCTCTAATCATTTAATGAATTTAATCCCAAAAAAATCCAACCTTTCTGAGACCTTTCCTGGATAAGTGGGAATGTAATGCTTACTTAAATACCAGATAGAGCTATATAAATAAGATACTAATTATATCAATCACGCAAACAGAAAGTAGCATTTAGAAGATGTAATACAACAACAACAAAGAGCTAAAACTATCCCTCATCGTCTTGAATTTAATCCATTCTCGAGAGAAAAGAGAAGACACAGAACAAAAGCTGGAACCAGAAAATTGTGAAATATCCAATCAAAAAGTCAACTTGAGGGACAATATGGATTGAACCCAGAAATATAAATCAGGTAAAGAGACCAAGTTCAACTATTTTATCCACAAACTGTTTCAAGACATCCCCTTGTATCGGGGTTCAAAACTCCAACGAAACAACAATTCTGCTAAACCTGAATAAGTCCTTCATTCATCAGTTGTATCCTGTCATCGTCCTCGTGAGTACCCATCTAAGCAAGCAGAATTCGCAATTCGGATTTTTTTTTCCTTTGTTTAGGAGAAGCGTGTGTTTAGATGCAAAGAGGGAATCAGAAGAAATAAAGATGGCGAAGTTAGAGGAAAACGAGGTTGTTGTTTGGTATTAATAGTACTGTTTTACACTTCACATTAGGAATCTTAAAGCGACTTTTTTTGACAAATTCTTTCTTAATGGAGTAGAACCGTTTTGTAATGGTAATTGTTTCCTTTACAAAGAATAATAATGATAAGTAAATGATATTATAGGTCCCTTGCTTTTACCAATTTTAGCTTTTTCTATTTCAAATCCAATCCCTAATAATAGTTAAATCCTGTTTTAGTTAAGTCTTTTCTTTTTCTTTTTTTTTTTTTGAAAAGAGTATCTGTATATTAATTAAAAATACCTAAATTAAATACCTAAACTATTACAAAGACACGTATTATATACTAGATTATACAACTCATTCCAACTAACTGTTCATATACTAGATTATATAACTCATTCTAACTAACTGTAATCAGTTAGGAGGACTTAAAGGTTGGAAATAAAGCTAATAGTAACGTATTTCAGTTAAGTCATTTACGTCAACTATTACTAATACTTTTTCTTTTTCAAAAGTATTTTCTTGATTGATAATTTAATAAAATCAGTAATTATATTGGGACAAAAGTCACAGAAGTAGTAGTTTTCCATCATAAATAGGTCTAAACAGACCATCTAGATGATGACTGTTTAAAGCTGTTAAAGCAAAGACAAAAGATGACATGTGCTCCATGAAAATAGCGGTGCCTGCAAACTTTGAAAGTTGTAGCTTTTGTTTGTTGATGGAAATTTCCTTGTTTCCGAGAATTTTGTTTTGCATTTTTCTAGGTTTGTCATTTATGGTTCAATCAGAGAGAAGAGATACAGCAATTTGCATCGAGAATGTAAGTTTTTGCAAGGGGAAAAAGAAATTTTATGAGAGACCAGAAATGATCAAATCATCAAATCCACAAAAACAAAGCCAATATCGACTCCTGTTTTTTTAACTCTAATGTAAGAAAGACAATTGCATGCTTATTTTCGTCCTGAAAACCACCCCAAAAAAAAACCCATTTCTTCATAAAGAAGTTATGTTAAGATAATACTAATACACAGGATACAATTTGAAAGATCTCCAACCAGTTATCATTGATCACTAAGCATCTACAGCAAGTTGCGTATCAAGAAGCGAGAATTCCTGGAAGAAGGCCTTGAAGTGGTCATATGAATGTTTCACATCGTCCACAGCGCACATCTCTCTAATGCTGTGCATCGAGAGTTGTGGAGCTCCTACATCGACTGTTCGGATACCCAACCCACTCGCCAATATCGGACCAATGGTGGAACCACAAGCCATGTCATTGCGTACGACAAAATCCTGCATTAGAAGTTCATTTCAGAAATTTTGTGGGACAAGATCGAAGACTCGCAAGTCATATGGATACAGTATCCCAGAATTTATGAAGCAATTACTCCAGAACCAGTGTTTAGGTTCTTTAGTTTGGCTTTCTCAAAAGTGAAAACTCTAAGATCTAGTTTGTGCAAAACCATCTTGATCAGTCTTTATAATGGATGAATTTTCTAAAAGGTGATAATGCGTTATCTGATGCACTGAATATATGACAGCCCAGCAAGTATAAAGTATCACTTACCTGAACTGGTAGGTTGTGTTTCGCTGCTATTTCCCTGAATATAAAAGAAGTGACAGCATTTGTGGCATAACGTTGATTTGCATTGTGTTTGATCACAAGGCCACCATGCAATTTGGGCTGATGATTCTCCTCATGTTTATCCTGAGAAAAAAAGATATATCACCAAAGATCTTATATACGTCCATAAATTGAAGTTACACAAATAGAGAAACAAAAATACCATATAATTGGGATGTAAGGCATGTGCCATGTCAGCGGACACTAGGAAGCTCTTCTGGATTGCCTTTGCAAGTAACTACATTGCAGAAGAAAAAAAGTCAGCAACTCAGCAGAGCAACGAAGGCACTGTTCTGATAAATGAAAGTAACAGAGACCAGAAATTGCTCATTTTTCAAATAGAGAAGGGGAAGGGAACCCTGAGGGAAAGAGGCAGGCGAAGGCATCTTTTATGCAGCATATGTATAGACAGTGTGATATGTTGCTCCCACGAATGGAAAGATACTCCAAGAAAAATCTTTCTACACCAGATATATCTCCATTGGAGCTTGCGATGTACAGACAGAATTTGGTTGTTCCCAAGTCTCCACAAACCGCCCTCAAACTTTTTAATGCTTTAATAGTGGAAGGAGGCAACTTCAACACTCAACATTTCTCTTGCCATATTGTGGAAGAAAAATAACCACAGGAAATAGATAATTCAAAGAGGAAATCCTAAGAAAGGAGATAAGATAGGCTGGGAAACATTCATTTAAATAAATCAGGCAGAGAATTAGAAATAAATACAGACAACTGGTCCTTCAATTATGTGAATACACAGTGTTATTTCATTTACTGTACATGTACAGCAAATAATTGATTATCCCCTTCAATAGTCCCTTTTGAATTGAGTGCCAAAAAGAACCACCAAAAAGATGCAAAAAGTGGAAAGTGAAAAAAGTAGACATTCAAAGCACATAACTGTGGAAGTTTCAGTGCAAGAATATTCATGTTAGAAGTCTTATACTTCTCAACAACCAGCTAGCTTTTACCTCGAATAAATTGAAGAAGAAACCAAACAAGACACATTTCATAGGCACATTTCATAGGCACATTTCTACCTTTGAATCTGAGCTGAATGAAGCCGTAATTCGTGACAAAGCATCAAACATCACAGGAGATCCAGCTCCTTGAGCCGAGTCAGACCCAACTTCTTCATGATCAAACAATGCGACCATCCTGACACCAGTTTCATCCTCGAGTGAACTCTCAGAAGATGTCGCATCTATCAAAGCCTGATGATAACATTGACAACACATGGATGCTGTTAGTCCCAAATATAAGAATTTATTTAACAAAAAGGTGATCCACATAAGGAAACTGAACAGAACAGTCACCGTGGAATAATGATTGTACATTCACATACATATTTACACTACAAAAATATATTCAGGGATCAAGTCCCTTCTCTGGAAAGTTTTCATTCATTCATACAGATCTTCAAGAAAACCAGTGAGGTCGATGAACAGCTCACCTTCAACGAGCAGAATGACATGCAAAGATTATCAAGTCTTCCAGAAAATATAAATTCCTTTGTAGCGCCTGCTATAATGCTGGGCTGAACATCACATGCTTGAAGCTCAAAATCACAAATATCCTCCGGTTGACAGCCAGCTTGATAGGCAAGAAGCTAAATGTAGGAAAAAGGAATTATGAATTGACAGAGTTAGGGATTACTGCTTTAATCATGTGTTTGGAGACAATTAGACAGCTTCCAAGATTTCTGGAAGCCATAGAGGGAAATTTTGGAAGGAAAGAAAATGATGATGTAATTTACCTGCAAAAGGATAGAATGATGCTTTCCACTGGGTTTCCTCACGTCAGTTGAGATTCCACCATCAGCAGAACCATTATCAACTGCATATTTTGAAAGCTCTGCCTGTAATATCAATAGAAATCAGAAGAAGAGCTAATAACTTCATTCCAATCCATAAAACAGCAAGTGTGAAATCTACCTTGATAGCAGTAGCCAACACTGGAACAAGATGACTCTGTTTGTTAACCCTCAATGCATCATTAACCTCTCTGCCCAACACATGAAATGGAGTATATATTCAGCATTGAAACTAATGTTGTTCTGCAACACAGAGAATATCCTATGTTTATCTGCTAAAAAAAACCTGTCCAAATGAATTGCCAGAGTAGGAATTCGCATTATTGGCTCCAAAATTCGGACAAGCCGATGTGAGTAGCTCGTAAGACCACCTTTCACTTCCTTAAGGATCAACCTTCCAGCAACAGTTAAATCGCGGTCGAACCAAGTATGCCATAAACCACCTCCATAGGTTTGGACACCAACTTCCAAGTATCCACCTTTCGAAACCTAAATCCAGAAAAAAATAAATAAATTTCAAATTTGATTGTGATTGGCTTTGAATAGAAGAACATCATCAATAGAAGATACAATTAATTACCTTTGAAGCAGGCTTCAACTTCAGACATGGGCTATCAGTATGAGCACCAATAATTTGAAATCCGTTCCCAGCTACATATCTACATATAATAACCCAAATAAACTGATGAGAAGTGTCTAAAGATTAAGAAACCGTACTTTAATGATCAAATACGACTACGATCACACAAACATAACTTCTAAACACTTAAAATTGTTCTACAGAAACAACAATTCTAATTAGAAAGCAAGAACTTAAAAATGCTTGTAAAAACTGAAAAACCATACTTTTTACCAATAGCAAAAGCAACAATGGTAGAATAGTTCCTAGTGAAGAAATACTTCTTCCCAGCTTCTAATTCCCAATCCTCCCTCTCCGATATTTGCTGATACCCTGCACCCTTCAATCTCTTCTTCGCTTCCTCTTAAGACAGAAAAACAAAACCCAACAAAAACGCATCAACAAAATAGCGCTGGGCAATACATTAACGTATAATTTAACACAAACTTTGATTCAAAAATCCAATCATCCGCGATTATGCTTCGTTTCAGAAAACAACGAATTATACAAGGCCTTTAATTAGCGTATAAATTTTTCTTCCCCGCTGAAGTAGGTGAAAAGGGTGATTAGTAACATTACCAACGGCATGAAAACCGGTAGGAGAAGCGTTCAAGAAATCAATAAAATCCGTCACCACTGAGCTTGTTGCCATTGAGTCTTCTTCTTTCTTCGGAGTGTTCTAAGACCCGACAGACGTCAGATTTCTTGATAAATGCGTCGGGAAATTTACGTCCTTCTTTTACTGTTCATTATTATGCTTTCTTTTGTTTTTCACAAGTCTCCCTCGAAATGTAACCAAACTCTCAATAAACCCCTCAATTTTGAGAAAATCCTGTTTTCACCATGCTTATTTGTATATTTGAAAAATGTGTTAGACTAAACGTATATTTGAAAAATGAATTTGAGTGATGGTTAAGAATTATAGATATTCACTTCATGAATGAATTTGTGGTATTATCAAAATCTGCACTCTATAAAAAAAAAAAAAGGCGATTTAACGATTTTTCAACTTCTTTCATCATTCAATTATATGCTTGACCCGGGCCAATACCCGAGGAGCATGTGTCTTAAAATTATTAAATAAAAAGATTATAAGTAAAAAAGTATATTTTAGAGTAATAATATGTATAATATAATATTAGAACACAGATCACGATAACATGAAATTTTGTACGTGTAAATAAATAATAATTCTTTTTTTATACAATTCTAATCGTATAAAAAAATCTTTTGTTTTTTTCCTGCGAGTCATGCCCGTTGGGCTAATCTATCTATAATTTATCTATCTTTAATTTATAATCTATAATTTATCTATAACTTTCATTATAGCAAAAATCATGTTTTTCTTAAAATTTCAAATGTCACACTCTCCTTGAAAGTTTCCTCACTCAAAACGTAAAAGATGCCCTTTTAATTTCTTTAATTTATCAAAGAAAAAAAATATACTGAACAACCGAAACCCAAAAGTTGTTCTTTAAATTTATTTAATTTATTTATTAAAGAAAAAAATAAACTGAAAAACCGAAACCCATATGATACTCATTTAATTTATTTATCAAAGAAAAAAAAATAAACTGAAAAAACCGAAACTGTTCAAATGCATATATGACTTTCAAATTCCAACTAAACCAGGATTCTTCAGAAAACAGACTTCCAAACAGTTACCGCGTTCTTTATCAAATATTTTTCTTCCAAAAAATAGTATTAAATTTTATATGTAACTGCAATTCTATTCATGAAAGGTTTTGTAACTACCATTCCATGTTTCAAATAAATGCATATCCTCTATCTCTCCACGATGAATATCAAATTCTGAATTCATAAAGGATCGCACAGTTCATTCCAAAAAAAAAAGATTTTCTCCTTATCATGTAATTAGATTGAGATAATATCCTTCTTTTTCTCCTGTAAAATTGAACATATCTTTGTATAAATTGTTACCATTAATATCATCACTCTTGAAGTTCGATCGCAATACTGACTATTAATATCACTAGAGATTCAGGACAAGAGTATTCTCGCACCATCAAATCGATGGCTAAGTGATTTCAACGTTAGCCGAGAGTGTAGTTCGAGGGTGCCGACTGGACTTCACTGGAGACACCATCAATTATTTAACTAATTCAGGTGCTTTTTGTTATGAAAGAATTTGATTGATGCAATTTTTTTCCCAATGAAATCAATACAAGAAAGAATTGGCTGCTTCTTAAAAAAATAGGTAAAAAGACCAATTTTAGAGTTACTTATGGCAACCGAGAAACTAACGGAATAAATGGTATGATTGCGTTTTGGTTTACTTTGTTCTTTAGGATGATCGATAAAGCTTGAGTATGAACCCAATGAGTTTTGTTTCGTTTTTTTTTTTTTTGTGTGTGTGGGGGGTTTAAGACGGTACTCTTTTTTATTTTACATTAAAGATAACAATACAAGAATTAAGAGTAGAAGCAAAGTAATTTCTACAAGGAAGTGATATTGTCAAAATTTATCCCAATTGATTAATCTTATTAATATAGGACTAAGAGCAAAATGCATATGATACTCCGTTAGGCCTCTGCAATAAGTATGCATAATTTTTTATGTACTAATTTATTCTTACTGAAGCTTGATCATCATCATATAAATTGTTCAAAAAGTAATGAGTTTTGTTGTAAGGATTTTTTTGGTTTCTGTATTGGTGCGTCTTTTGCTAATATGGGTTGGTGGTTTATTTGTTTATTATATATATATATTATTTAGTTTCTTTTGTCTGCTCAACTCAAAAGCAACTATTCACTTTTTTTTTTTTTTCTTTGCTAGCCATTTCAATCTACTTCTTTATGGTACTCAAGGCTTACGATGGGTGCAACTTCAACTGTGCACATATTTATAGTTGGGAAAAGATAAAAAAGAGTTATATAACTTCAAATAAAGTTCCCAAATTTGAGAAAACAATATAGTATATGCTATACTTTCATCTTTGCCCATTTGCTCCATTTAAAGTTTTATATGAAAATAAAAATACTTTAGTCTACTATATACCTATGCGAATGCACGGATCCAGAATCTAGTAACAAATTACAATATTATTGGGATAATATCTCTTGAACTAACAAATAAACATTGGTGGTAGAATCCTTTGATATAATATCCTGATTGCCATAATGGAGAGCTGATCATCTTTTGCTCCCCGGTATTGATCTCCCGTGATAGCATGATGGAATTTCCTTGGTTTTCTCATTGCTAGGTTTTAAGTCAAATTTTAAGGATTGATGTCTTTTTGATTGAGCCAATTGTCTGCTAGAGCAAAAATATTAAGGGGATCACCTTCATTTTCATTGAGCCAATTGCATTACATTGAGCAAAAATACTTGATTGAGATACTATACATTTAATTGAGCCAATTGTATGTTGGAGTCAATTTTCATTCAACCATTTTGTATTTACGGAGATTGGGAGGCGTTACTCGTAGTAATATTTCACGTGATTTAAAGAGATTTTTTTACATTTTGATTTTATCAACTCAAGTTTCTTGTTTTAAGGGATTAGTATATATATATCCTACTATATTAGAAACAAAAACCTCCCTTTCAAACACCTCATATGATTACCACGTGGCAAGTAAAAAGTACTAAATTGCCCTTTTGTCTAACCATAATAAAATTACTAAATCTCCCTTTGTACTTTACGTGACATTTTTTAATTTTTTCTTTATGTTTCATTCAACTAGAGTGGTTTTTTAAATTGAATCGATCAATTAGGTTTTTTGTTACAAAGTGTCAATTTTGTTTTAAGTGTATACTCTTCTGATGAACCTTATTACAAAGCTATTAAAAATCTCCAAAACTAAGTATTGATTTGGCACGACTAATGAAGAACATCAATAAATCATCTTACTAATATTTAAATTTATTAGGATGCTTTTATATTTTATCTAACATTTACTTCAACACATATATTCAATTAAGGCTATTTATATTTAATAAGTAACACTTATAAAACATTCTAAAACATACATGGCGAAATACAATTTATTTTTTATTTTTTTTTGCGAAATAAAAATATTTCTATGATCACACTTATAAAATATTTCTAAATCCTTCAAATATTTCTAAAATATATCGCTCCAAAAACAAAATTTTATTTTTTTTCAAATATAAACATTTCTAAGATCTACAGATAGACTGGGCCAGGGTTGCGCGACCAGACATCACTAGTATGTATATATATATATATATAAATAAAAAAAATTATTGGGTACAGCTGCGGTATCCTGGTTTTTAGTGCAACAAGTACTAGCACCCCCTATTTTGGAGGTATAACTCTCTTAGAAATTATCTCTCACAAAATCTTGTGACCGATTTTACGAAACATCTATCTTACTACTACTCGTTCTCAAAACATTCCGTCGTCCTCCTAACTTCCTCAATCTACCTACAATATGGCTGTACCAATGATTGAAAAAGAAACATAAAACCTACCCATCTGAACAAATGTGAAAGGAGAAAAAAATTCCTACACTTTAGTGATCTTTGATATTAGCCTAATTGTGGCCTAAACGGTATTGCAATGGTGAGTCACCATTAACAAATCGGCTAGTAATGATTACAATCAAGAAATTAATAAGGAATGGATCATGAAAATTCTTCCACGTTGAGACCTTCAACCACCCCACTATTGCCTCCCAAAATGAAAGCTACAGCACAATTTCCCTATATAAACACTTTTGTTATGCAACTTGAAATAACAAAGTACTAACTCCCAAAAAATCACACACTCTACTCAACCAATATGGCTTCTAAGATCACGTCCATTCTCTTTGTGGCTTTGCTTGTGTTTTTGTTAGGGTTACAAGATGGAGGAATCATCCAAACAACAAATGCAGCCGGAGAGTGTGGGAAAACTCCGATCCCGACCGCGGCGACGAGCTTGAGCGCTTGTATCACGGCAGCTTCAAATGCAAGGGCCAAAGTTTCTCCGATTTGCTGTGGCAAAGTTGGTGCAATGATCAAAACTTCGCCAAGATGCTTATGTGCGGTTCTTCTGTCACCTTTGGCTAAAAAAGCCGGTATTAATCCAGCTGTTGCCATTACCATTCCCAAAAGGTGCAACATCAGGAATCGCCCTGTTGGCAAAAAATGTGGACGTAAGTCTAATAATTTCCTTATTCATTTTTTTTCTTGTTATCAAGCCGAAAATTACATCTAACATATCGTTGGAACTATTACAATTAGTCTATAACGCTACCTTAATCTCATTTCCCTATAATGAACCACTTCTTCTCGCGAATATATTACCTCCATCATTCATTAAATTACTATTAATTTGATGATTATAGTAGTTTTATTATTTTTACTTATGGCATTGCAGGTTACACGGTACCATAAGTTGAAGGAATATGAATAAACATGGATGACAAAGAAAGAATAAAGCCATCTGATCAGTTGCGTTTTGACTAGATGATTTGTGCTGTTTTACCGTGTTCCTTTGTTGAGGTAGATAATAACATGTACTACGTACTACTTACTATTAAACAAATGGATCATTGCTATAGTGATCAATTATTGATGAAGGGAAATTTGACATTTTTATTACCACCATGTAGTGGGGACGAGTTATCTCTCCAACATGTTGAGAATGAAATATAAATAACTTTCTCCATAATGATTTTAATTACTGAAAGTGGCTAGTAATTATTATTCTTATATTTCCCGAAATTGTTGTTCAGACTAAAAATTTCGAATCGGGGTCACATCCTAATCCATATATAATCCCAACAGCTCTCTATGGAATCACGCATCATGGTTCATCATATAAAGTTTCTTAAGCTTAAAGCTGTGATCTTCAACGTAACAAGGTCACATAGCATAAAGGCTCACTTGCAGAGTACTGAAACTTGAAGGAAAAGAGAAAAGCGACAAAATGGCCTGAAGGTTTTTTATCATAAAATCTAACGGCATAAGTTATTAAAAAAAAAAATTGAACTCCTTTCGTCTCAAAATTATTGTCTTATTCAATTTTAAGATTACGTTTTTTATAAATGTAATGGTCTGCTTAATGCTGCACGGCGTTCATCCAACTCAGCTTGAATTCTTGCGTCACGAGCACGAGAAGCTTCCTCCTTTTCAAGCATAGCTCTTTGATAAACCTCATCAGCCCTCCTAAAGGCCTCAAATAACCTGACCTCTGAGGCCTGCGTAAATAGGGATTCCGAGGTGGACAAAATTTTGTACCCTGGAGCCTCAATCGAGATGCCCAATTTGTGAAACTCGGGCTCAACCTGATCACAAATCTCCATCAGAAACTGTTTAGGCCCATTTTAGATTTCTTTCATGGGCTTTGAAGCGGACATATCCCAAATTACTCTCTTAAACACGCGTGGAATCTCCTCATCTTTATCTCTCGGTGACAACATACCTAACATACCATACCATGTGCTCTGCATCGATACCAAACCAGAACTGGGAGACGAACCGGTTGGTTATCTGAACTCAATTCATGATGGCAGTATTGGGCTTGTATAGACCATCACGTCTCAACTTATGAATTGGGCCAGTATTATTGGGCTTCTCCGGCGTCTTTACGTCAACAATGGCCACTCCCACCATACCGCCGGTATACTTTGATATGCACTCTTTATCAAAATCATCACAAATATTATTGGGTGTCCATCCCGGGAACAAATCCTTGTCAGGCTTTTCTCGTGGTAGTAGGATCCAAAAAATAATAAATAAACAACTCAAAACTAATAATAAAACTGGATAATGATCATCAAATTCAACAACTTTCAGAGATGAGAAAGCAGCTTAGGTGGCGGAGCTAGGGGGACGGAGGGGTGCGGTCGCACCTGTTCAATTTTTTTAACTTAGTAGAGATTTCTTAAATTTTTAATAAAAATTATGTGTTGAATAAACACTGATTCTCTAATATTATTAGTAGTGTTATCTAAATTTCGCACCCCCAATATTGATTTTCTGGCTCTGCCACCAAACTTTGTAATTTGCAACGAAATCGCAAAGCCACATAATTAATATTCTAGTGTTAGTAATTAATGGATCATAGAACAATTAAATTTCTAAGAAAGATTTTATTGCAGGAAATGTCACCACTAAAAGATAGTATTCACTAATTTACCCATCTATGGATGGGTGGATGACTCTATTTAATTTATATATGCATATTGAGAGATTTCTGTCATCATCCTTTCCTAACTCGGAACACTGTTTGGACAAGGGAAACTAAAACCTTGTACCATTTCCAACTCACAATAGGAATTGTAACTTTGTGTGATTGTTGTTACATCCATCTTCCACTAATTCTCAATATACAAATTCCGGCTCTCCCCAACTCCATCTATGGCATAAAAAAAAATTTGCTATTAAAAAAAAAAAAAATCCTTTGATCTTTTTTCTATAGATGTTTAGATGTTTAAGAGAAAGAAAAACTCTCACATTTAGTTGTGCGGCTCGAACTCAAATAAACACACTTAAATTAGTCTAGTATTTTTTCACCACCAAATATTTATTAACTCTTTTCTTTTATCTTCGATTTAATGTAATTATGGGCTAAACATATTTCAACGCTAACGATTGAGTTTGTCTAACATGTTGAAATTGGTTGAATATGATGTAATCAGAGTGACATACTCTCACAATGTACTAGTCTATTTTTGAGCGTAGCTGCCTCTTCTATTATAACCAAAAATAAATAAATAAACAAATTATTTTTGATAAATGAATGTCTACAGTACTCTTTTAACACATGATAAAGTTAGAAGAAATAATTCCGGGGTCTTTTTGGGCTACATATTTTCAAGGGAAGCTGGGCCAATGTAAATTAATTCGAAAGTTAAGGTTATTACAAAATTTGGGCCGAAGGATATTATTAAAGTTTTTTAACCATTTGGGCCTGGCCTTGAGTTCTTTTGAGATGGGTAATTTAGATGGCTTATCCCTTTTACCATATTAAAGCAGAAAACAGAATACTGATGTGACAATTTCTTATTAAAATATTTTGGCTCCAAATGCACTATATTGCATAAAACATTCTGCCACGTGTCACCCTTTTTAAAAATAAATAATATATTTACAATATTAATGAAGAGATCATATGGTCATGTTCATTCAAATTTTGAATTTGACAGTGAATGGAACTTTCCTTCTCCACTTATTTAGGACTTTTGAAAAAATTAATTTTCCGTCAATCAATCATCTTCATAAAACTAAGTTCATTCCTAATCAGTTTTGATTATTTACATATCAATTTATTAGGTGGGAAAACGCCCCCGGACATTTACCCGAGGCAAGCATCTAGTATACTATACACCAGTAAAATTTAAGCAAGAATCAAAACTTACACACACAGAAGAAAAAAAAATAATAATGATTTAAAAAAAAAAAAGAAGAAAGAATAAGAGAAAGGTAACTGAAATTTTCCAAGTTCATACAAATTCCAAATGTATCAAAAGTCCACATTTCATATTTATTTCCTGTATAAATCCAGTGACAATCACTCCATATACATCCTGATATCCATAACCTTTATGCATTTCTGAGAGAGTAATGAGTAATCGAACTTTGAACTTCTTATATGGATGATTGTCACGTATCTCTCCTTGAGCCTTAGTTAACACTAACACATGAATTATAGAATCAACAATGCCTCAAAGTTAGATTTTTGTTTGTCGAATTATTTCAATAAGACAAAGAGAATTTTTTGTTTTTTTTAAATATATAATTTATTATTACAGTCGATAACAATAACTGATTTGTTCGATAAATTACAAACGTCTGGATAGACAAGACCCTTAAGAAATCAAAATGTCCGTAATGCCTTGAAAGACCCTTAAACGTGGCCCAAACCAAATCGGTTTGTACCAAAGCCAGCATGCCATTTAGTGGTCCTACAGGAAGGACTAGGCCCACACTCCATGGAAACTTTCAAAGGTGGGTAGGGGGTTAGTAGGGTCATGTCTGATATGACCCCACCGAGGACAAAAACAAAACCCATAGTATTAAAAAAAAAAGAAACAAAAAACAAAAAGAAAAAAAGGAGAAGAAAGAAAACAGTCAATAATATAGAAGAAGAGAGAGATGTGCCTGCTGTGATGGGGGAATTTTGGTTTGAAAAGAAAGAAATGATGCAAAAAGGAAAAGCTGGAATTTGAAATGTTGTCTGTTAAGCATGATTCCTACTATTACCATTGTTTGTTGCCTTTGCAGCACAAAAAACATATCATATCATAACCACTGCAATTATTTAGTTCCCCACATTTCCACTCACACACACACACACACACACACCCACTCAATTGGAAAAATTAATATTTATATGTACAAGTGACCAAATTTAAACATGAATCAATCGTTGGACTCTTGAGTCATTAGCACATTATTAATAGTCACCACACTCTATAAATTGGAGGTTTGATTGATCCAAATAGATTGTAGTCTAATTGACTAGATAGTTCAATCAAATATTTTAAAATATTATTTTTTCGATCTTATTTAAAAAATACAAATTGATACTAAAATTAGTTTAATTTATACTAAAATTAGGACTAAAGTGAGTATCGGAGTATGTAAGAGTATCATGTCCGCTGGATCAAAGATCAAACGTTCTACTTAATTGTACTATAGAAGTCTTTTTTATTTCCTGATAGTTTTTTAAGCAAAATGATTTATCTCAATAGTGCATATACCCTGATGAAATTATATTCATGAAGTAGTAGGATATATATATATATATATATATATATATATATATATTATATTTGCAAGGTGTCTACCGTCGGTAACAGTGACTAATCCCTTGTTGAATTATAAGCACCTCAATGGGGGAGACATCCACTGGTAGGATATATTAGCAACCCTATTCTAATTTATTACTCGTATTTGAGTTATTTTAATAATCTAGATGTGACCTCAATTTCCTCATCATCGAAATTAAGAAATTCAAAAGTGCTCAATCTTTAGAATCCCAACAAAACAAAATCTAGTAGCACTACTACTACTACTATTACTACTACAACCTTTTTTTTTTCCCACACTCTTCTTGCTGGCAGTTGACTGATAATTTTCTTCTAAGGAGTCATCTGATTTTGTCGCACTTTATATATTCTTCATCATCATTTCTTACTTCAATTTTCCTCCTCTTTTTTTCTTCTTTCCCCCCTTTCCAACCTTTTTGTTGGAAACCCTCTTTAAATACAATCCACTTCTTTCATTTTCTCCTTATAGAGTTTCTTCTACCTTAGACAAAGAAAGAAAAAGAAAGCAAAAGAAGAAAGAAAAAATGGGTGATCTTCACTCCATTGCTTACAGCAGCAGCAGCAGCAGCCTTCTTCACAACTCCTCTTCCCTAGGCTATGGTCTCCACAATAATAACAACAACCATCTTGGAGTTTTCAACGCAGACTTGTCTCAATACTGTATGTGCTATATAATTTGATGACAATTGAACCCTTTTCTTTGCTCCTTTTGCTCACTTTGAAGTTTGATCTTCTCCTTTCTTTGGTTGGCTAACAAATAATATGTTTGTTTTTTTTTGGGGGGGGTGTGTAGTTTTTGAACTGGAAAGCAGCATAAGTAGTAGTACTCCACCGTTTCTTGCGCATTTCGAATCGCCGGATTTCTCAACGGGTTATTTGCAAGATGCTTTGTTCGAATTCAGTTCCAAGAGAAGGAGATTAGAGTTCTGCAGCAGCAGCAGTGATGATGATGATCATCAACTAGATAGTTGTACCAAAAGGGTTGGTATTTCTGCTCAATTACGACTCGTTATTTCTGCTTAATTATTGTGTATCAATCGTGTTTATCTCATTTGTCGCTTCCTGAACAGATTTGCCAGAGGTCAATGAACTACTTGGATGATTATGATCAATACATGAGTACGATAATGGCGAACTCCGACAGCATTTCAGGTGAAACCTCACAGCACATTAACTAATGTCTTTGAATATGTCACGTAAAGTATCGAGTCATTTATTTTACATCCAATAAAAATTAACTACGTTTACCAATTTTGCACTGATTAATGGTTTTCAAAAAAAAATTGCTTCCAGTGGAACCAGCAAGTGAGGAAGAAGGATCCCTATTCTCAGAGATGACAAAGACTAAAGAGGAAGCAATCTCAAGTGCTGACACGTTTGATATTTCATCTTCCATGAAACAATTCTCATCAGTCAACAGTAACACTACTACTACTACTACTACTACTACTCAGTCGTCGGATTCTGATAAAGAAAACCTACGTTCTATAGACCCCAGATTCCCTTCAGCTGGTACTGGTTTTGTCTTTCTTTTTGGAGTTTTTTTTTTTTTTTTTTTTTTTTCTTTCCTTCCCCACAAATATCACTATCTTGTTCTGCATTATTTGCTCTCTGTGTTTCCGTTTTGCTTTACACAATTGGTCAAAAGGGAAAACCAAATGTCACATAATTGACAATTTTCCATTACCTTTTTTTAAATCATTATCAGTGGACAAATTTTATCCTCCCTACCAAATACCAATAATTTAATGTCCTTAAATTGGTAAATTCTTAAAGGTGATTGTACTATACTATATTGATTGTCACTAGGTAATTAATTGTAATTGTAACCACTATAGTTATAGCTAGTCACGTGATGTAGCATTCCATTCATTTCTTGGTTGTTATGGTGGTAGTAAAGACTATCTAAAATCATAAATTTATGTGTTGCTTATTAATTGTACCTCTTCCTTTTTCTTTTAAGTAGCTCGAGTAATTTGTGAGTCCAACTTGATCCAAAACTTATGGCTACATATAATGTCTTCAAATATTCCGTCGGTCTTAGAAAAATATTCTCTTCAATCTTTTAACAACAATAGTATAAAGTTCGACGATGATTATTTATTTATTTATTTATTTTACTATTTCAGGTGGTGTTGTGGATGAGAAGAAGGGAAAGAAGAGAATGATAAACAACAAGGTGGTGTATCCATTTGCACTGGTGAAACCAGGTGGAATAGAAGGGGATATGACAATAAACGATATAAATCAAAGGATTTTGATGCCGCCAAGTAGGCCGGTGAGGCATCCGGTCGGTGATTTCGCTTGCCGGCCGTTGATTTCGTCTGCCGACGGACCTGGCCTGTCCGGCAAGGCTGTGGTGGCACTTACCAGAATTCATACACAAGGAAGAGGCACGATCACAATTGTTCGGACTAGGGGTTGATATCATAAATCATGATCATCGGATTAATTAACTTGTGTATAGATTAAACTCCATATATATGTAGGAAGGGCTTTTGTGTTTCAATTCCTTTTTGAATTGTAAATAGAGCATTGAGATGAGAGAGTGAAAGTTAAGAAGAATGTGCATGTGGAAACGGATTTTATTTTCCCTAGTTACTAAATTACTTTGTATCATTTTTTTCTTTTTAATTCGTGTAAGAAAATGAGAGTCCACAATGCAACTATATATGTAAATCAATCGCGAGATGCTTCCTTCTAATATCCACTTATAGCTTATATTGAACGAGTCTCAAATTTCAGTTATCGGTGTTGTTACATTTTGCGTATTATTCTCTCTGTTTCAAAATTAATCCAAACTGAATAATAATTTCGAGATAACGAGAGTATTGTTTTGTATTCATGCATAGTACTGAAAATTGACAATATAGTCTTGTCATATCAATTATGTGTACGGCCACATCTGCATAAACGTTCCGATCATATCATAAGTAAATTTGTTCCCGGTAGGTAAGCCTTCACCCTCGCCGGCCGGTTTACTACATTTTGTTTATATGCGAATTGTTCATTTATTTCAAAGGAGGAATAAAAAGTCAGAGGTAAACGTACAATTTCCAGTTAATCATCATAGTTGGTTGAAGACTTGTTTTTTTTAAAAAAAAAAATAAATTATTTTCTGAGGAAATGGGGGAAAATGTTTTTGAAAATGGATTGATTCACATACAAGCAAAGGTGAAAGTTCAAGTCATAATGAAGGACCCCAAGTATTTATTCAAAAGAAAAAAAAATCGAAAAGAAAGTACCGTAAGTATGGAATGGAAAAGGACGTCGCATGTGACTAAAGAAGTCTATATCTATATTTCATTTTTTTCTCTCTAACAAAATAAATTTTTTTTTTTTTGGAAACGTATCATAAAATAATTTATTGATCAATACTAAAGAATACGATTACGAAAACACAATAAAGTCAATTAGGTTGACCTTCAATGAGTACCTCTTAAATTGCGGCTTATAACTTTTTCAATAATAAATATTGATGTATCACCACCAACAAAGCCTTATTTTGCAGGCTTTTATGCCGTCAAGTGCACTAATTAACATAAATCAAAAGTGAAAAAAAAAAGGAAAAGAAAGCAGAAAAAAAAATAAAATAGTGTCATCTAATACGTACAATTGAAAGGGAAAAGCAAATGAAAGCTACCATAGAATATGGCTGCTTTGGATGATTTTTCTTCTTCGTCTTCTTTTTTTTTCACCCTTTAATTTTTGGCTGTTCTTTCTTAAAAGTCACTCTATGGATCTTTCTCTTGTTGATAAGATAGTAAGGCACTAATCTCGAAGGAATATATAAAGCCCAAATGGAAACCTTTTGCAATTTCTTCATTTTGATTTTGTATTAATTTTACTAATATTTTAAGATTTAAATCGGCAACGGCTTTTGTACCCCAAGTAATGGATATTAAACCGAAATCAAACTCAAAAAAAGTAAATAAATAAATAAAAATGCAGAAGATGTAGCAAGCAGAATTTGGAATTTAACGAAAAGAATAATTGCTATAAGGGTGAAACATTTGTTCTTGTTCATGATGATGTACTAATTGTAATGATTGTTCAGATAAGTATCATAATAGCCAATTTTCATAAAAGTGTACACATTTTCCTGCCAAAAAAAACGAGGCCGTATCAGACGAACAGAATTTTTAACTTTATTGCAATTTTCAGCAATGAAAAAGGACAGTACACAGCCAACCCAAGTGATCTGTAGCAGAAAATAAAACAAGCCACACATCCTCTTGTTGTCTTGCTCATGGAGCAATTGGCAGTACTTCTTTACTTTTTACCCAGATACATTTTCAAAAAGTTTTACAAATAATAATAATAATAATAATAATAATAACAATAATACTACATTCGTCTCAGAAAAATAATCTACTTTGAGTTGTGAATTTTGTACTGTCTTTACTACAAATTTGAAAACTTAATGTGAACTATATTTTTTGGAGAGATGAAGTAATACATAAATCACAAAATGACTATGATTTCGTCAACTAAACGGATTATAGTTGCTCGACCTACGATTGAACATCGTAGATTAAACCATTCCTCATAGGTGAATTTTTTTTTTTTAATTTCATTGTATGTAAATAAAAATAGTCATTGTCGTTTTTATTTTCTCGATTAGAAAGAAATTGGTTGATGAATGAATTGCTGGAAAAGTTCAACAAGGGCTAGTAGTATATATGTCATGTTCTTGATATAGGTCAACACGGGTCGTTATTAGATAGCGTAGCAGCATCATATTAATTCAAACTTTAGGTTATGAATGCAAGGGGGACCTCCGATGACAGACCTACCCGGCCTTTCATTTGATAATTGATGTTGTCTCCGTTCTTTTTTCCTCAAGTTTGTTGAAATATATAGGACATATATACCATTGGAGTTAGTAGTTAACAAAAGTGTTTGTGTTCTCTACTGAACAGTAAACACAAACACAAATTTTCTTAAAACCCTCGACTTTAGGAACGAGAATCCTAAAGTCGAGAGTTCGACTTCTAAATTTGAGGGGTGTAAATTTTTGAAACGATATCTATTTAAAATGTTACCATTTTATGATTTATCGGCCGGCTCTTTTTGGAAAATGTTCTTGATTTTAAGTACTCTTTCATTTGGAGAAAAAAAAAATTATTGTTTGAAGATGAAAGTCTATTTGGATCTATATTGCTATTATTTTCCTGTTTCTGTCTTAAAAAAAAATAATTTATATTGAATTGTGAAATTTGTATTAATTTTTTTGGAGGGAAGAAGTATTACTTATATTTATATATATATAATTTGTAACAACTATTGCCCTTTTCTATCGGTCATGCCCCCGAGATTTAATAAATGTGATAAATTAGTCAATCTTTGAATTTGTTTTGTAGCTAAGGTAAACCAAATCTTAAAAAGCTAGAAAGAAAAAAAAAATGGATTAACAGCTGGAAGGCAAATTGATAACTAAGCATGTGCACTTAATTAGTGGAGTGAGTAGGACTGTAGGTGACAAATGTTTGATTTTTTATTTATTTTATTTCTCTCTCTCTTTTTTTGGTGGATACGGTTTTGTCCTTTTACCTACAATCATTACCCTAATCCTTTTTTTTTTTTAAAAAAAAAAACAATAATAATAAAAGTAACCAGTGGTGTATCATCTATCATCTGCATGTGGATCCATAAATGACATTTTCAAAATGTAATAAAATGTTGAATATATTGATATTGTACTACAGATATGCATGTCACATATGGTTTGGAAATGCATACTATTAGATTGGAAATTTACACAAAGTTATTGAATAGGGTAACACAAAGTTGTTATTTGCATTAATATTTACACAATTCACGATCATTTTTGAAATTATATATTTTAAAAGTAAGAGTTCACTTTTCTCGAGTTATGGCCTATCTATTTTAATTTTTACAGTTAAAAATTTTAATAAAAATAGATAAATTTTATTAAAATAAAATAATGACATGAAAATTATCTACATTGAAAATATAGGTCTATGATATATGAATTAACATAAGCTATATGATTTATAAAGAATAATTGAATGGTGTAATATGCATGCTCTTAATGATTTTTCTGAGGCCAATTAGACAAATTACTCATTTGCGTTCAACTATTTGATACTGTGCTATTCACAACTTGAAATATAAATTTTATACATGATTGAAAAAGTCAGAGTGAAGTTAGCAGAGAGATGAATCCGTAGCTATGAATGTATTATGTGTACTTAGATTACAGAGAAATGTTTTGAGTAAGAGTAGCTACGAATGTATCAAAAACGTGAAGGTGGCAGTTAACGGGCTTATAAATATCTTTGATATAACGAATATAATAAACTATATATAAAGTCGCTAACTCAATTTAAAGGAAAGGTAAACATACCGCAGACTAAATTGGGAACCTCTTGCTAACAGAGGTGGCCCAAGCATCTAAGCCGGAGATTCCATGTTCGAAATTCCATGACAGCAAAATACTGTCTTTTCTGGTAGGTTAAAGTTGGAAATTTTTCAAACACCCGATAGACGCGCAGAAAAAGGCATAGAGTCGTCCCCCACTAGATCAGGCTAGTAATAGGTCCCTTTCCCCTAGACTCACACATGTAATATCTTAAGTATTTATAAGAATTGTATAAAAAAAAAATTTGAGGACCTTTAAAAAACTAACATAATGCATTAAAACATGAATTTTTTTTGAAAAAACTTTGTTGAAAACGGGTATGTTAAAAACTATGCAGCTACTTAATTTATTTGATCCATATAATTAATTAATACAGCGATACAAACTTCTTATTATTGTTTTGAAGAGATCCGAAAATATTTCAATGGATGCGAACATACATATATAATTGCAAGACTATTGCATAATTTTCTCTTTTTTTTTTTTTTTAAAAAAAAAAACTTCTAGCTAGCTTAGAGAGGATGATGACATGCGGAGCAAATGATGTGACTAAAGGAAGCAAAAAAGAGAGAAAAAACATTCCCTGAGTTTTATATCAGAAATGCAAACCCCAGGACCAGAGACGACAAATCTCTGCCAAACAAACACTAATCGTGTCACATCTTTCTGTGTAAACATTGGAAAAATTAGATTAATAAAATGCTTTGAACACACTGAAACTAGAAAGACAATTGATCACTAGTTTAAGGACCCCAAACAAATTAATTAAATTAATAATGAATTGGAAAAAAAAAATGTCAAAAGGGAAAAAATTCCCTAGAGGTACGTGAGAATAATTTTTGCATCTTCCTTTTGCTTTTTCGAAATGCCAAATGGGGATACTACTAAATTGGGATTCTCTCTTGATCATGATTTTTGAGATGCTTACTTTTAGCAAAGTAACAGTAAAACAAAAGGAATGATTTAAATGTGCTATTTCTTTTTTCTTCTTAGTTTTAGAAATTGTTATTCTAATTACAAATCTATTACGAGATAAATCCTTTTGGAAAGCAAAACTTATTATCGATGTGGTAATGAAGAAGGATAAGAAGAATGCCGATGTCATTCACATGTCACGCACTTTTTACTGTTTTGCTAAAGGTAGATTGAAGGACTCGTATGTACCGTCGAGCTTTTAACGCGGTATATAGTGCAATAAAAGTAAACTTGAGGGGGTTGTTTCCAATTAATTTCAAATCCTTAAAGTTTGAGATGTACACGTCACAGTTGTAACAGCACAAAAATATGACGTCGGAGCGGGAAAATGACAAAAAGAGACGAGTCCTCTTTCACCTCGTTAACTATTACTATACAGTATACC